AAACCCTAAACCCAAACCTTGCCAAACATTAAAACGATTAGCCTTCTTCTTCGAGGCTGCGGATGTGTCGGAAGACGAGGAGGAGGAATCGACGTCGGCAGCTTGGTACAGCTGCTCCATGACCTCTTCCTCCTCCTCAACAAACTTCGAGGTGTCCAATATCAAGTATTGCACCAGCTCGTCCGATTCGGGTAGCTCGGGGTGCCGACGAATCTCGGAGGTTCGTAGCTTCTCGTCCCCCTGCTTTCGAAGGATAATCGCATCTGCAGAGGTTTCCCCGAATTTCGCCACCACTTCGGCACGTGTCATCCATACACGTACCCCGGTCCTTCGCGTACGGCTGATACTCTTGAGATTGAGGTAAATCGACGAAGTCTTCCAATCTCCCTGGCACTTCTCCCACGCTTCGAAAAGTATGGAATTCATGGTGGAATCTTAGTGCCGATTTAGTCTAGGGTTTTAGGTTTTAGTTTAAGGCTTTGGGTTATGGGGTTTCGATTCAAAAGACCATGAGCAAAACACGACATCCCCCGAATCTCCGAGATCTCTTGAACAAAAACCGATTGCCGAGGTTTAGACCTCGGCAGTGGCTGGCAGACTACATGGTATACATTCAGCAGGCTGGCCGGCGTTCATAGTCATAGGAGCTGAGAGCAGCGCGTACAATCTTTAGGGTGTTAAGGGCTTTGAGGTTTACATTTAGGGCAGGGTTTTCGGTGGAGGGTTTAGCATCTAGTCTGATTGCAAGTTCTAGATTTTAAGATTAGGTTTCGGATGGGAAACTTCTATCTATGCATCTAAACGAAATAATATATGGGCGGCAGAGTATCAGAAGCTGATTGACTTTTATATGCACAGGATATGAGTCTACTGCCTGGAATGCTTATGTTCTTAAAGATGCTCTCACTTCGAACAGAGGCGAAGATTGGTAATGAGGTTCGGTCTTTGGGGTCGTCGGGTTTGCCTGCACGAGGATAGGCAAATTTGGGGTAACTGTCTTGTTTTTGGGGTTGTTCAGGGCAAGCAAAGAACGATCCAATCTAGTAGGTATTAGGGTTTAGGGTTTAGGGTTTAGGGTTTAGGGTTTAGGGTTTAAGGTTTAGGGTTTAGGGTTATATAAATTAAATTATTTCGATCTGGCAACATGCATGGAAACTTTATTGAGCTCACCAGCCAGCTCTGGGGTGAGTTGATGGGGCCCAAAAGGCACTGGGTCGACATGGTTGACAGCCCGTCGCTGTTTCACGAAACAGAAGCGACATGGGCTTCACTTTCGCAGTCGCTGTCGCAAACGCTCTGACACTCCACCGCTTTGCCGAATCGGCTGAGGAGTGCGATGCGACACTGATCAGCAAGCATCATGAGCATGGCTCTCGCACCCAGTGCATGGATATGATCTATTGGGGCCCCCCCCCGCCCAAAGCCCACCCCGATCCTCTTAGGGTTCATCACCCCTTCTAGGGTTTCTTGATATGCTACTCTTCCCCGGTGTTGAGGGTTTTTGTGATTATGTTGGGGGTAGGGTTGTCGGTTTAGGGTTTATAGCATCTAGTGAGATGGCAAATTTTGGATAAGAAGATTAGGTGCAGGATCTGCGGGCAATGCCCGGAATCTTTAGGGTTTACGTGGTTTTAGGGTTTACGTTTTGGGTTGAGTTTTCGGTTTGTGGTTTAGCACCGATTTAGAAAGCGAAGTTAATTAATATGAAACTATGATTTGAGGATTAGACTTCGGATGGGAAATAGAATAGATAGCATAATTGCTGACAAGTTTCCATTCTTGGCCTTGTCCCCCATGCGGCGGATCTCAACCGGTGTTCGCGGGGATTCTTAGTGGCTAACAGGACGCAAGTCTGTCATTCATAACCATGCAAAATCAACTTAAGCCCCCTACCTCTAACCGAGCGATAGTACCGCATGTATCGGGCGTGGGCGGCTTTCTTCCTTTTCTGGAGCTCCTCCAGTTTCTTGGCCTCCTTTTCTGTCAATGATGGGTCATCTCCTTTGCTGGCATCCTCCTTCTCAGCTTCAGCCTGCTTTGCTTCAGCCACATCTTTCCTTTCTTCTGTCGTGTCTTTTGTCTTTTCTTTTGTCTTGTCTTCTGTCTTTTCTAGAGCCAACTGGCTTCCCTGCTTAGGCCCTTGGGATTCCTTCTGATTTTCAGTAGCTGAGGTTTGGACAATCGTAGGAGTGGGCTCTGGGGCCTCGACTGGCTTTGGCTCAGGCGCTTGGGATTCCTTCTGATTTCCAGTAAGCTGGGTCGTGACAATGGTCGGTGCAGAATCTGGGGTCACGGCAGGCCCCGTCTTGGGCTCTGATATACCCGTTCCCGCTTGAGCGGAGTTCTGTCCTTGGCCATTCAATCCAATTGCTTCACTCGGGACCTCAGTGGGGCTTCGCTGAGAAGACCCAGGGCTCGGGGAAGAATTCGGGGTAGCAGTCGACAGAGAAGGCACCTCCTTGGTCGGTGTCCCCAACGCTAAGAACTTTGCTTCCAAGCTCTGAGCAAGCTGGGCCAAGTCCCCAGTCTTATCGAAGGATCGTAGGCGCTGCAACGCATGCACAACACCTGAGTCCAACTCCACCTCCGTGTCGGTCGTATCGCTCCTGCGCCAAGTCTTCGCTGGGGTCGGAGTGGCCTGCCAGTCCTCGTCAGGAAATGAATCCAACGAAGAACGCCTTCGCCTCCAAGCCCCGTGCCACTGATTAACCCACTGAGCTTGCTCACCCTCCCGATGACCCCATCCCCATGTACCAGACTGCCAAGTTTGGCTGTGCCAGCCATAAGAATCTTCAGCAGCATAAGCCTCTGGCCACGACCTGGCTGGCCAACTCGAGGCTGCTGCAGCTTCAGGGCTAGGGGCAGCATGGGGCTTGGTTGCCGCATCGTCTTGATCCTTTGGGCCACAGCTTGTCACCTCTTTGATATTCTTCACTTCGCTGTTGCCTTCGGTAGCCTTCACTTCGTTGCTCTCTTCGTTATTCTTCACTTTGTTTTGGTCTTTGCTTGCTTGCTTCGTAGAGGCTTTTGTCTTCGGCTTCTTTTTGAGAGGCTCCCCAGCCTTTGTCATATTCTAGCAAAGTAGTAATTGCATGAATCCACCACGAGGAGTGCAGAAAGACTAAGATTGTTGCCTTAACCAACTCCGGGTCTACTTGTGTGTCGGCGGAGTCTGGGGAATGACCTGGAACATAACACGAGAGACAACAGAAACAGTCTTGATATCGATAATTAGACAGACAGCTGAGGCTTCGACGCAATGGACCTTTGAGAGGCCTCCTAGGTAAGCCACAACCCTACAAGCACCCTCGACAAACCTGTCATGGTTCCGAAACCACACCTAGGTAGCTGGCAGCTCGCTCGACGGCGTTGTCGGGGAAGCAGCGGGGATCTCAGGATTCCCTGGGAAAACCTTCTGGGCCCTGGCTTTGGCCTTCGCTAATGCCGCTTCTACGGCAGCAGAAGGCATAGTTTGCCTTTCGATCGTTAACAAAAAGCCTAGCTTTGCTAAATGGCTGCGTGCATCAGGTGAACATCGCTTAGAGTTCGGTATGCGGGCTGTGGGTTTTGTCTCACGAGTATAAGGGGATTTATCACGGGTATCCGGGGATTGCTCACGGGTATCCGGGTCCTTTCACGCTCAGCTCACGCTCGTTCACGCTTACCGTTTTGCAGAGCTATTTGAAACATCGCACAATTCCTTCGATTTAGGAGCTAAAGCGCTTCGGTGCAGCTAAATTTAGTGCAATGACTCACAAACCTCCTGAAAACGTTGGTGAGAAGGAGCCATCCCTCACCCGAGCCCGCAGAAAAGATCTCAGCTGTTCGAGGTCGGCATGCTGCCACAGATCGGCGGCCTGGGCTGCCTGATCCACAGACAGGTTTAGTGGAAAGGCTTGTTTGGATTTCACGGTCTTGGGGTTTGGGGTTTAGGGTTTAGGGCAGTTTGCACCGATTGGGGTTTTATAACCCTAAACCTTCGGTCCAAAGAGACCCCGAATCTTGAAAGCCCTCAATCCAAACCCCATCAAGAACCTATTCCCTAGACCGCCAAACCCTAAACCCTCGAACCCGAGACCCCTAAACCCTAAACTCAAAGCCC